AGTCTACCTCAACTTTCTCCTACTGCCTCATCTAAATGGGTGGCTAAAAGACAGCAACCGAAACCACCGCACGAAAGTGCCTGGTTAATGGTTGCCGAAACTGAAAACCTTTCAGTGAAAGGGACATGCCACGCCGGTGCCAGAGATGCCGCAGACTAGCAAACACTAATCTAGCTGTGATTGAGTTGAGATCTCTTCTACGTCTCCGTCAGCCGTTATACAAGTACCTAGGTAGACAAAACTTTTAACTAATTCCACAGTGCGGTTACCCAACGAAGGTGTACGAACGGATCCCTGCTAATCTTGCAACAGCACCTTGCACTTTGAAGGAGCTAAGGCTATACCATGACGAGTAATGTTGATTGTCAACCGATTCAGCGAGTCTAAAATCGTCAGTGCGTTATCATGGATTAAGGAAGTATCATCGGCATAAACTAAGTCTACGACTCTGTCTCTATGAAGAAACTCAATGCGAGCGTCCGCTACGTTAAGTAAGGCATTTTGTAGAACATTATCTGTGGCAAACTTGAGGAGAAACGGAGAGATAGGGTAATCCTGTCGAACTCCGCTGGAGACAGGAAATGAGGATGAGTTCATCATAGGCCATAATCTTCCCCGAGGTCTGGGGGTAGAGCGCCTTTAAAAGTAGAACATACTTCGTAAGTAATGCGTGTCTCAGCAACCACTTCCACAGTCTGGGGCGATCGTCGTACCCCAGTCCTCTACAGTGACCAAACCACCTAGTGAAGCAACGCTGTACCTGTTCGAGACACCTATCCCTCGCTATGTTTGGCCTTCACGCTTGGACGAAATATTTCAGGTGTTTACTTCAAGTCATGTTAGATTGCACAAGATTGATAGTGGCCACAGGCCAACCGAGCGTCCAGAATTCCTTCGGTGAGATGCTCACGATTGTGCGTCCACCTCCACGATTGTTCGGTTTCTCCTTTTATTTGCAAACAGGGGGAAGGAGAAACTTGGTTTCTCACCCTATCAGCGAAAGAATTTTAATATGATAACGTTCCATATTGCACAGAACAGGTTTTGAACCTAACATTCTCTATGGACAAGCCTCCAACTACCTGGAGTCCGGGGCTCTTTTAAAGCCTTAGATATTTAGTTGGTTGATCATTCCATTTATTCATTACCCTATTGCTAAAGAACGGTGCATGTAGGTTCAGCCTAGAACGCTGTTTCATAAGTTTCAGCTCATGACCATGAGTTCCTTAGTGGGGAGTCTCGACGATGAGGGTTTCCGGGTCTAACCCCAGCATCTTTTTTCTGAATCTTACATACTTCTGAGGTCTCCGCGCAACTTCCTCTTTTCTAGTGAAAAAGGCCGGGCGTTCATAACCTCTCTTTGTATGATTTACCTCTCATTCCCTCAACCATACTTGTTGCTAGTTTCTGGACCTTCTCCAAACAGGCTACGTCCGTTTTGTAAAAGAGAGACCAAGCCTGAACACATTATTCTAAGAGAGGCCTTACAATTGCTTTCTATATAGGCACAAAAATTCCTGCTTTCCTACACGAAACTGCTGACCCTAATCGAAATGGCTGCGTCTTGCTATGTGCGCTGCAGCTTCATATTGGGTACTCCAACTGTAACCAGAAGTCACTATAACTTCCAGATCCTTGTAGCTGGTTACAGAGCCCACCCTCAGATTGTCCCTAATCTCCTACAACCTGCAATGGTTCCCGGGTTTTCAAGAACAACTGCATCGTTTAGTGGTAGAACCAATGTGTGGGATCAATTGACCACTTGCGCTGTCTTCTTCTAGGTCTGATTGTCCACTAGATGCAACATCATCAGTGAAGATTACGCATGGTGAGCTGGTAGTTTCTGCCAGGTTATTTATGAACAACAAAAATATAAGTGTAACTAACACTGATTCTTGAAGCACGCCACTATTGACCTGAAGGACTGATGAGGTTTGTTCTCCTACCCTGGCGCATAATGCCTTATTTGTCAGGAATTCCGCATCAACTGATGTTCCTGTTACTCCAAAAAAACCTAGTTTATGTAGCAGCAGTCCACGACGTACTGCATTAAGTCTTATTAAAGTCAGGGTAACATACCCTTACAGTTCGATCGTAATCTATCCTTTTCGTGACTTAGTCCAGATAGCATAACAGGTCAACCAGGTAAGACCTATTTTTCATGAAGCCATGCTGAGCGTCACAAAGTAATGCACACTCTAAGAGGTGGCCACAAACATTGATCCTGATTAGCTTCTCCATGCTTTTCCATATAGCACTTGTCCAGCTAACTGATCTGTAGTGGTGTAGAATAATTCTATTACCGCCTTTGCGTCAAGTCACCACAACGGCAGTTTTTCAGTGAACCGGGAGCATGTCCTCCTCTAGAGATTTTTGGAAAAGCACTCTCAAGTGAATTGCAAAGATTTGAGGAAGGGGTTTCACTACGGCCAGGTATATACCATCGGGAACCGAGGCCTCATTCATGTCCCTTAATACCTTTGGAACATCCAATGCAGCTATTTGCAAGTCTACTGCGATTGGTGGAAGAGGTCGGTGCTCTAGGTTCTAACGTCCGGTTGTCCAACCTATGAACGCTGGCGAAAGAGTTACCGTCTGCTGCAATGATGTTGTTTTCTAGCACCGATGTCATCCCTCAGATTGCGTTTCGATTGGACATATCTATAGAACCGATTCGGTTGTCGCTTGACTTTTGCAGATAGCTTTAGTTCATATTCTTGCATATAACTCAGTTACCTGTGAGTAGTGTTGCGGGGCAATTATTTTTGACTGACTGGAACTGACTGCTTCAGACTTCGTCTTCACGCACATTCGTCAGCGCTTCCAGTAAACTATTCACTCGGAACCACTAGACCCGAGTTTCACTCTTATTAGAACTCATCAGTAGTGCATATCCACCTACCCGTGGAGGATTGGAACTCTGAACCGATCGCATGGAAGGCATGTGTTACCACCGCCAACCAGCTCATTCCAGGGTTGAACCGAAATACCAATTCATGTTTGTCCGGGTGTAGTCTTCAGAGAGTCAGTCATTTCAAGTTGGTCCGACAGCAACGAAGGGAGACAGTTGACTATCTCTTAACCCCAAACGAGAGGTTCCCAGCAGGTCAGGTCTTTCATGCAAGTTAGGGGTTAACTAGCCACAAATCTACCAGGCTGGGTTAATAAGTCGCATTTAATTCACAAGTGTTGATGAGCTCTAATAAGAGTGAAACTCGGGTCTAGTGCTCCCGAGTGTACGGTCAACTGGAAGCCTTGAGGAATATACGTGAAAGTAAATTCTGAAGGATGTTCGGTTCTAATCAGCTCATATTTTCTTCTTTCTGTTTTTATGAGACTAACTGTCCATGCCAGTTAGGTGTTGATATCTCTGTAGTACCTCCAGCTTCTGTTTCTTTTCCGTAGTGTTCTCGTTATTGCAAGAGACCACCATGGAGGCTTACTACAAACTTTCCCAAAATTAAGAGGAGCGTCCTGAAGTTCCTGTAGGTTCATTTTTATCCTTTGCCAGAAAACCTCTACCGTGACCTGCTTACTCCCTTCTTCCCATTCTAGGGTTAACGCTCTTGCCCGGGGGTTAATCGTGTACACTTAGCTGAAGTTCCTAACTTTCCGGAAAGACACTTTGGGTTCCCTGGAATTGAGCGTCACTTTTATCAGTAGATACTCACGCCTTGCAACAGGTATATGAAAACAAACGCCCAAGTCCCTTTGGTATTTAGTAAACACCAAGCCTAGGAGAGACGGGTTTTGCCCCGTCATGAATCTTGTGATTTGCTTCACATGACGTAAGAGGACTCTAGAGTGTACCCATCCCGGGAACATTTCACCTGGTGTACCGTGCAAGAAGGCCTAGGTGGTCCGCTGGATGCTAGGTAGGCTAAAATCCCCAGCAATCACCGGTCCTTTTTTGGGGCTGTCCCCTAACTAGTTGCTTATCTACGTCTATGGTGGCTCTCGGGCTACTGTACACACTGGCTATGGTGACTGTTTGTTCTGGAAAGTAGAGAAATTGCAACGTCTGTTTTCCTGAGGTTTCTTTTCGAATTAGTAGTTACTCAATCCTGCACTTGTCCCCCTCTATCCTGTCTGCGGATCCCAAAGCTGATTGTGATGGTCTGTGGTTGCTTTCGCCTAACCCCCTTTCGGAGACTGCAATCAATGCAGCTTTGAGCTCCTCAGATATGACACCTAGTGTTGTCTATTTATTCGGGATGCTGCACGCATATCCGCGTAGCATACCCAGTTCCCTTTCCGGAAGTGGGCATTTAAAGTTCCCTACTCTTGCCTTCACCTAGGGCGCAACGCCCGAGCAGTGACACTGGTTTTTTTATAGGTCTGTTTTCGCATTAGCTCACACCTAAGTTCGGAGTCCATAGGTTTTTTCGTGGACATCTGCTTCAGTGGTATTGACGTTTGTAACATGACCCAGTCACTTTGAGCTACCATCTGCTCTGAAAGCAAGTCCACTATTCTCCTTCCACTAGTAGATCTTCGATAATCACAACTCCGTTTCCGTAAGGGTATTTTGGCTGCGATCTAGCGCAGTTGTCGGCTCCTACCTTGGATCCCTTATACTCTACTTTTCCATGTGCTCTCGGATCGTCTAGGGCGATGCCGTAAGGGTCTCTGGTGCGCTCACTAGCCAGGAATTCTTGGGGCAAGACCAGGTTTAGATATCTGGAAGAAAAATCCGACATTGCATCCCCGAAAAGCCACGGGTGACAAGGTGAAATGATGTAATGTTATCGACTTGTATTTCACACTATATCTAAGAAGAAATAATCCTCTAATTAAAATCCCAGTGCATTTTGGGGACAGGTTTCTGAAGCACTGTTTTGTCTTCTCCTTCTTTTGTTTCGCCCGTCCTGAACGGATCCAAGTTTGTCAAGGGGAAGTAGACCAGAGTAACTTCTGGGGTCAGTTCCTCAAGCTTCGGCAACTTATCAACCGCGGATTTCTGTGTACTCATTAGGTAAATGAAAATATACTCACCATCTTGAGGGCACTGGCTTTCATTTTCTCACACGATACCGCGTGACGCTTGGCCAATTCCAACTGCAAGGTACTTCGAGTCTCAAACTAACAATTACCATTTGTTGCCCGTGAGCTTGAACTTTTCCCTTAACATTCTCAGTGTCCTTCGGATATTCAACTCGCATTGCCTCATATTCCTTCTGAAACTTTTCCACTAGACCGGGAACTGGTACCGTGCGCATATAGTTATCCCAGTTTATCGGGGGAAGTGTTTCGGGAAGACTCGAAATCCTGAGGTGCATTTACATGAAAACTTCAGTTTATACCTCGAAACTATACCATCCGTTCTTGTTTTAAGATCCCGAAACTGGTCTAACTGATGTTTTGGGCATCGCCTTTGCAACTCAACCCAATTAACAGCAGACCTTGAAACTCTCCGCGCTGCCATTTTATTCTCACAAGCGCTGACAGCGTACTCAAGGTCGGTTCAGTTCAGGTCAGTTCAGTTCAGTTCCAGGACGTTGACGGCGGTGTGCCAGTTAGTCCAGTTTCCTGCAGCGGTGGGCTCCAGGGATCCCCGATGCCACCACAGATGGAAGAGCGAGATGACTGAACTGTGTAACGCGAAATCAGAAGACGAGTTCGCTGGACAATATCAATTCGTGACACACTAAACAAATGGTCAATACAGATAATATGCACAATACGAATTTACAGTCAAGTACGGTTCACGAGTTCACGGAGGATTTCTTGTCCGTTAGTAAATCAACAACAGAACGGTCTGAAACGAGAGCGAGACGGCANAATATCTTTTATCATACCGTCCAACCATTAATCGGCTGACAAAATCTCTCTCGGATCCTCCGACGAGGACATCCTCCTGATGAGGTTAAATGAACCTTTGTTGGTCATGGATAAAACTCTTTCACAGGCCGAAATGCTAGTCGTAATTCGAAAACAGGCCTTAGAACTAGGGAGGATGGAGGCTGAAGTTTACGCTCTCAGTGACCAGGTCGCCAAGCGCAACGCCCTTATGTTGAACTCCCCAGTTCACTTGGCGGCAGACCGAGCGATCAAATTCTC